GAATGCCACCGTAGGTGTAAACATACTGAACTGTAGTCCAGGGCTAACCTGAGCTTACATGTTTGCTGCTCACTATTGCATTGCTCAGTCAGCAGCATTTAAAAATGTAATGTGAATGGGTTATACAGTACGTTAGAATCATAATATTTTTCAGACAAATCATTAGAGACTATTCTGTTCACAAATAACAATTACCTGTATGGAAATATAAATAATGCACTTATGTCATGTTTCTGCAAACTTGTGCAAAACTACCCTTTAAAACTTGCTTCTTTCCATTTCTAAAATATAATGTATATTAAAAGAATATTATTTATTTTCTATTTTATAGGACGCAGACCTGTGCAATGTCAGGTGAAATGGGAAGTGGAGCAGGAAAGGTAAATGCTTAGTTGGAATCTTTGCTCTTAGAAAACAATTGTATATCAAGCAGCTTAGCTCAGTTGGTTCTATATCTGGTGGTAACTACTATGTGTGCGCTGAACCGTGGAGGACCTTTGGTCCCGGTTCAATTCCGTCCAATGCTCTCCTTCTGTTTCAGTTGGAGGGCATGCAAGTTACAATAGCGCACTGTCTTTCGGAAGAGATGTTTAAGCTGTTCAAGCCCGTAGCCAGGATTTCAATATGGGGGGGGGTTCTTTTTTATACTAAAAGGGCACTTGCGGGCGAAGCGAGCACCATTGGCTGGGGGCCAGGGGCCGCCAAGGCCCCTGGTGGGGTCCAGGGGCGAAGTCCCGGTGAGGGTTGAGGGGTCGAAGCCCCGGAAGCTCCAGCATTCTAGACATTTACAGGTGTTATTTAATGATGATAGGCTCTAGGCTTGCCAGCTTTTGTTGAAAGGGCACTTCATGAAAATGGGGGTTCGTTCGAACCCAACGAACCCCCCTGGCTATGGGCTTGCCGTTGGTCCCATGTGCATGTTAGAAACGCGGTACACTGAAAAGAGTAGAGGGTTGTCTCCGGTGTACTGCCCAATCACCACCAGAAGGATCCCACTGGAAATAAGTCTACTTTGGGCTATCGTAGGTTATTGTTGCTGGGCTCCATTATCATTTATATCACACTGATGTAAAAAGAGGCTCCCAGCATGAATGTCAGTTTTGTAATTTTGCATTTTTCATCCAATCATAGTAGTAATTTCATTCTATAAATTGATTTAATAATAATCCATTACATATTTAAATTTCAATATTTAAAATATATACTAACAATTTGCTGTTTGATTCAAAATATTATGGCATACTAAAAAATAATTTACCTACCATCCTAAGAACTTACTATGGTATTTTTTAACTAACTTAGGGAGGCGGAACTGGTGGCACAATCCGAGATGCTGGGGGTTCATTTGGCAAGATGGAGTCTGCGCATGAGGAACAATACTTTAGAAAATTAGTAAGTGTTAAATTATATTTATTGATGCAGCAACTATTAAAATTATATACTATAGTACTTCATTAAGCCAAGAAATTTAATTAGGCGCTTGATGCTTGTAGAAGGGGGAATGGTTTGGATTCGTAACCTCAAGGTGCGAGTTTCAATCCCTCGCTGTGCATTTCTAATTGTGTCCTTGAGCAAGGCATTGCTTCCCTCCACCGAGGAGTATAAGTGGGTATCTGGCCAAATATGCTAAGTAGCTGCTACAACATAATGTATATTCCTGGGGAGTTAAGTTTGTGTTCCATAGGTATTTAATCAAATGACCGGGGAAATGATTGTGTGAATTGCATAAAGGACTCATCAGAATGCACTATATAAAGGCCCTTTCACATCTCTTAAGGTTCCAGTTCAAGTTTTCTATTCATGTTTCAGTTTTTTGATAACTGTTCAAATCTATTCAAGCGCACACGCAAATACAGTTTTAGCTAGGCCTAGCCTAGGCTGGAAGAGTCAACTATGCCTAGGCCTAGACATGTACGAAGTCCCTCGGGGGCCACTCTAGGCATGTACCTGTGAGGCCAGACCGGGTCCCAGTTTCGGAAAATACGATGCTCCACTGTTTGTCGTCTCTGTAATCTTTAGAACTTTTATCATATCATGTTGTATTTAACTGGATTTGCATTAGCAATTCTTCTATAACATCATCACCTAAACCTAGGCCTGATCTTGCCTCCGCCGATGCCATTGCCCTCTCTCTTGCTTTCGAAACTGTGGCTTTTGAGTGGTCAGAAGTCATATGGTATTCAATCAAGTGGGGAAAAAAACCTCTCGTAGACCGATTTGATGCAGTAGCTGGAAACTACAGTATAGCCGGTTGCCATATACTGGAACGGAGTAAATGTGAGCAGAACATGTCTTTAGAACATGAGCTGGGACATGAACGGAAACCTGAACAGATGTGAAAGGGCTTTATGTCTACCATTATTATTATTGACATGACCCACTAATTTTTTGCTGCCTGCTGCCCCAATTTAATTTAATTTATTTTTTGTTAGTCAAAAAAGTGATCCAATCATTTTGTCTTAATTATCTTGAAAACTTCTGGGATGAGCTATTCTACTTAAAGAAAGTGCTACAAAATCAACATTTATTCTCTTTTATGTTGTTTGTAGTTTTACTGTCTTATTAAATTGTTATTATGAATTATATATTTGAATTGTTTTTATGTTTTAGCAAGCATTGCAATTGAAGCAATTGAAAGAACACCATGATGAGGAAATAGACGCTCACGAAAATGAAATCCGTCGCCATAACGAAGCTATTAAAAGACTAAAGAAGAAAAAGTCCCAGATTGATGATGCTGGCAGTGACAGTGATTAACCCTTACGCTAGAGCTACAGGCCCGAGTGTGTGCGCAGAAGAAAATTACAGTTCTTCAGAAAATAGTTTAATAATTAATAAATAAATTACATAGAATGTTTTTTATTAAATTTAGCATTTATTATTGTGAAGATTTCGTTTAAAGTGAGATTGTATCCATAACACCAACAAAAACTCAATAATGATTAACACATTATTGTCATATTTTATTACTTTGAAAAAATTTAAATCATGGCTATTTGAGCACTGATACAGTTGTTGCATTAAATTATGATCCTCATATATTTGAATTTCTTGTAAATGTACTATTGTTTGTTGTCAGTGTAGTAAAAAGTTGCATGATTCAGTTACAGAAAGCAAGACTTTCAACTGTGGCAGATTCAGGATTTTGAAATAGTGGGGGCCCAGGGAAGGACTTTTCACAGATAAAGGCTCTAGACCACCTCCAGCCAGCCCCACTATTATTGGGAGCTGCGGTAAAAATATGTATGATTATTGCATGGGATGACAGGAAATGGAACTCTCAACCTTATAATTTGAATAATTCCCTTTTTCCCCCCATTTTTTTTTTATTTTGAAAAATTTAGGGGGGGGGGGGGGGACTTCCAAGCTGGCTTGGAGAACTTGGTCGGCAGTTGATTGATTAATTTTTGCAGTAAAAGTATGTGGATCTGCAAAACATACAGTGCAGTAGTAGTATAGAATTTCTACATAAGACAGAGACAATTCACTGTTTGTGAAATAGTTATTACAGTGCACCCTCTAATTTGAGACCACTTAGTCAAAGAACCAAATGAAAATCTTTAATCTTATGACACAAAGTTATCCCTCAAATTGGACACCGCACCCCCAAGACCACCCCACATTTTCAGGTCCCGAAGGAGGTCTCGAATTGGAGGGGGAACTGTACTTCCAATATCAAAATTTAAAAAAAATAACCTGCTGTTAGATATAATACAAAAACTGTCGACAATGTACAACCACACTGCCATATAGCCTTGGACAACTATGCAACCCTAAAACCATACAACCGGAGACAACCATGCAACTGGAGAGACTGTTAAATTTATTCAAAAAAGCAAACAAAACAAACTAAAATGTCCCTAATGATTGCCAAGGGATGTCCCAACCAGCAGTGAAACAATTACAAAAAATTATTTAATACAAGAAGGTTCAAACCATCAGTTAAATTATTCATATTATTTTAAATTTGGCCAACTTACAATGCAACCACGGGAACATCACCAACATACAACATCATCCACAGTCAACCATGCCAGCAGATATACAGCCTTGCAACCACAACCATACACAAACTGGCAACTACGTCCAAATACTCGAAATAATGTCCCATTGCAAGCATAGTCAAGTTGAGTGACAGAATCCTGGTGTGTTTGCAGGATTTGAACCCAATCTTGGAGAGTGGAAGGCAATCGTCATGCTACAGCTCCACTCCAATCCTACCAGATGAATATAAAAAATAATTGTATGTGTGGTATTGCAATGGATTACTTTATTACCTCATCGGAATCTGGAAACATGCTTAAAAATCAATTCAGACCTACCCAGTATGCAATAACTGCCAGTGAGTTGCTCACACTAAATATATTTTTACATAAGAAAATGAAAACAACTATATGCTGATATATACAAACCTTTAAAACAAAAATCGATTCCCAGCCAAACTTAGAATAGGCCTTTCACGACAGGAATGGATTTGTGTTGATGAGAAAAATATTTTCATAATTTTCAATGTGTAACTTTCTCCTAAATAAAAAATAAAAATAAAAGAATACTCTATTTGATAAAATAATTATATACTGTAATATTGAATTAAATTGTTTAGCTGCTTCAAACATCATGGGCTATAATCCGCAAGAAAATAGATACAATTAAATTATACATATATAAGCAGTATTAGATATAAAGTATTTTGCGGTAATGCCCAATTTATTGTAAATGGTAAGAAAATCTGCAATGCAATGGTTAAAAAGCGTATCTTCTATTATCTCTGAGATCTAACGAGAAACCATCTTTGAAGTTAAAAACGGAAATTATAGAGGGCTCACTTCTACTTCATAAATCAACAAGGCAAGATGCAACAACTCGACTCACGTTGAAAAGTGTTATTTGTAAATTTTATGCAATATTTTATTATGTAGGTAATTATATTGCTTAGGCCTATTTGTATGTCATGTGCATAAAGTAGAGATATTGTCGTCACGTCGTGCCTACCCCAGGCCTAGTAAACTTGAACGGTGGGCCTAGGCTAGCTAAGGCCCTACTTCTACTAGTAGAGTAGTAGATAGGCTAGGCCTACTAGGCCTACTACTAGAATGTGGCCTACCCAGCCTGGCCAGGCCTAGAAGAGCCTCCTCGACCTCTCTGTAGCATGTGCCAGGCCTAGCCTTTAAGTGGTTTTTGGACAAAACGGCAATAAGTCAAAACGGCAAAAAACCAAAACGGCAACACTATTTGACCAGACAAAATGGCAATAGACCAAAATGGCGGCGCTAATGCACTTTGGCACCTAACTTTTAATTCTTAATTTTTTTACCTCAACGTCCTTCTCACAGTCACAACATATAATTAACAAACATGTTCACCTGATTTAACCACTCACAAAGTACCTTTTTCAACAAATAAGGCCCCAAATAAGTACAGCAAATCTGTGTTCGCTAGCACGACGAGCGGCTGCCATTTTGCAATCATTAAGAAATTGCCAGAATGTCAGAGTTTGCAGCGTGAAGTTTTTTGATTAAACGTTTATGAAAACTTATCTATTTGCCTATTTAATGTCATTCTTTATATTGTATGGTGCTGTTTGACTATGTGTGTTCACATGAAATTCACACGTACAATAATTACTTCAAAAATTAGTAATGATCCAAATGCGTACACAGATCGAAAAATAGGGCCTAGGCCTAAATCCAGAAAAACAACTATTAATGCCAATGATAAACGTCGGTTCGATTAACCTCGATTACGACAAGAAAGTTAAAAAAGATGGTACTGCATGATGCCACATTTTGTTGTCGGACGTTTCAAGGGAAAATTCCAATTAAAATTGTAAGACTGGCCTTTAATGCTTTCAAAATTTAAGAATTGACTCAGACATTCTGGCAATTTCTTACTTAATTGCAAAAAAGTACAGCTCGTCGTGCTAGCAACCGCGGAAACCCTGTATCAACCTGTGTTTATAAATGTATTTTTTTGTTGAAAAAATATACTTTATGAGTGGTTGAATCATGTAAAAATGTTTTATAATTATGTGTTGTGACTGTGAGAAGAAAATTCAAGTAAAAAAATTAAGAATTAAAAGTTAGGTGCGAAAGTGCATTAGCGCCAATGGCAATAAGTCAAAACGGCAAAACCAAAATGATGCTAAAAAATGTCATAAAAAAAAGTGAAAACGGAAAAAAATAAACTAATATAAACATGAAAGTGTACTAGAATTAAATATGGTAAAAATAAGGCTAAATAGCTGCAGAAGCAATAATATCATTAACTATAATAATTATAATAATAATTAATAATAATAATAGTCATACAAATTCAGTATTTAAAAGATTGTGGGTGGGGGGAACAATGTAAAAGCAGTAAAACATTTAAACAAATAAAACTTTCAAATACGGACAAAACGAGGCTAAACAATTTATGTCGTAAAAGTAAAAAAATGCCAAAATAATAATAATAAACATTAAAAGTGGGAAAAAGAGCCATGGCAATATTTGATTTGCCAAATGGGACAATTTCAAAACGATTCAGAAAATTATAACTGCGGCCAGCGCCCGCTGGCACTTGCTAGTCTTGGCATTGATTTTGCTCCTTTGCCATTTTGGTCTATGCCGTTTTGGTACTTGTCATTGCCGTTTTGGTCTGTTGACATTTTGGTACTATTATTTTTAAAAAATCATGGATACACCTTACCTAGCTAAATACTACATTCTTTTTTTATATTGGTAGATGAACATTTACTGGAATGTTTACCCAGCTAAGTGAGCCGAGAAAAAAAAAAAGAGTACATTGCGAGGAAGCGGCACCATTTCCGGTGCCCATTGCCTCCATTACCAACAAACCCGCCTCAAACCAACGCTGGTTTTATTACAATGCTTTACTAAAAGCTGGCAGTGTTTATGTTACACAAGAGGGCGATATTCACTTTTTGTACAAAATGGTAAGCCATTTGTGATTAACTGTAGTAGTTTAAATTTAGGTGCATTTGTGGGACAACTCATGTCTATAGGACATGCACATATTCCTGGTCCTCTTCTCATTGGTCAGTTGTTAAAGTTTGATTGACATTCCGGGCAGGTTCCAGGAGAGGTCATTGGCTATGACCCAACACATCATCTATAATTCTTTTCTTCATCTTTTTCTTAGGGTTTTTTCGGTAAGGGAATTTTATCTCGAGGAAAACCACAACACTCAAGGTTTATTTCATCATTCCAAGGTTTAAAGAGGAAGAATTGTAAGTAAAAAAAAAAAAGCAATTAAAAATATATTACATTTTATTTAAAAAAAAATATATACAAAATGCATAATAGAAGCAATGAATAAACATACTACAAGTTAATTGCAAAGAGAAGGGTCTTTGAAGACTTAAAATCGAGGTCCAATGTACACATCTAGCTTGTGTGCACTTTAAAAGAGAACTAGCAAAATGATTTTTTGTTCTAGACAGGATTTTTGATATGCCATTAATAATAGAATCAACCTTAAAATCTTTTTTTGGCTATTTTTTATGAAGTTATAGGCGATTATATATGATTTTACCATGTGACGTCACTGGCGAAAAAGTAACAAAAGATCGTGTAAATAGCACCGCGTAGGATATCCACCGCGTAGGGTATCCGCCGCGTACGATCTTTGCGTGCATGCTGTAACAATCACAATTTACAGCCATGGTTACAGCATACACGCAAAGATCGATTTTAAGGTTGATTCTATTATTAATGGCATATCAAAAATCCACTCTAGAACAAAAAATCATTTAAACTATTAACAACTTCTATATTCTCGATCTTCAGATGTAGTATAGTCGTAGATATGGCAGACTTTTTTGTACCTTGTCTAAAATGATGATTCGAATAAAACAAATTTACTGTATATTTGGCTAATTAGCACACTCACCGCCACGAAAAATGGAAATTTCATAAGAAAAAAATGTTGCTTTATTTTTATTTTTTGGGCCTACCATGTTGTTTAATACGACAAATAATAAATTTAAAGTGTTAAAAATGTTGTATATCGCAGGGAAATANNNCGGAAATCAAGCTTTAATTAGCAAAAATCTAATGATGGTCACCGAATGGGTATTTTATAAACCGAGAGAAAAAATGGAAAACAGATAGGAAAATTCATAACTGTGAGTGAGGGGACACAATCTTATAACTTGTATTTGCACTATATTTGGGGTTTACATTTCTTCTAATAAAAAAAAAATACAAAAAAAATACAAAAAAATAACAAAGTCATTCTAATCTAAAAGAACAAGATTGCATACTGTCGAAAAAATATATGATCATATGCTAAGGTCTGCTAAGAGAAGCTTATCTGACTGTAAACGACGTTCCGCCCTTTTTCTGGAGGGTTCCCCATGCCCGCCCGTTCATTTTTTTTTATCTAGTGATGCTAAATCAATGGTTCCTGAAAAAGGTCACGGGGGCCCTGATTTTCACTACAAGTAAGAAAGAAAGTGGGAAAGAAAAAGATAAAAGGAAAAGAAATGGAAATCGTAAGACAGAAAAGGAAAATAAGAAAAAAGACATAAGAAAGAAATGGAATGGAAAGGAAGCATAAGAAAGAAAAGGAGAGACTAAAACAGAAAATGAAACAGAAACAAAAGGAAACATAAGAAAGGAAAAAAAGAAGAAAAGGAAACATAAGAAAGAATAGGAAAAAGATAAGGAAACGTATGACAAAAAAGGAAAGTGTAAGAAAGAGAAAGAAAAGAAAAGGAAATATCGAAAGACATTGGTATAACTGTGGTTAAAAAATGAGTAGGTAAAGTAATAAAATGATGATATTCTTGTGATATGTATCTTGTTTTTTTTCTCTACTGCTTGTTTGACACTGCCCAGCACCTATGTTGGTGAAGATGTTTACGCTCTACAAATCTTTATTATTATTATTATTATTATTATTATTAATATGCATATTATATTATTAAGGCCCATTATTATTATTATTATTATTATTAATAGGCATGTTATATTATTATACGGCCTATTATTATTATTATTATTATTTTTAACAACATGATATTCAAACTTAAAACAATGATTAATTTAGTCTTTTTGCAAGTACTGTACACGACTTTTAAAATCAATCAAGAGATTTTTGCTTTTCTCCCCTTTTTAACTTTCACTTTTGTATTAGTAATATTGCGACTACACTATTGTGAGTGGAAATAATATCAGTCTATTGTCAAATAAAGTGAAATCACCTCGACCTGACAAAATAAATTAAAATTATCAGCCATACATATTGACAAATCAAAAAAGCTCCAAATAATACGAAATGGTTCTTCTTGCAACATTATAGTTCAAGAGCGAGATAGCCTAGCAAAAGTGTTTCACGCTGACATTAGCTATTTTTTGGTCATTTTTTGTCTTTCCACAGTCGAGTCTGGCAAATACTTGTCGGATTTTTGTATTCCCTTCTGCATTTGAAAGGCAATTCTTTTCTGATTGCTTTAGTATTTGTTTAAATTGTATTGCTTGAAAAAGGTCACCGTCATTTTTCACTTTTCTATTGGTGCTATGTTGACCGCCCACCGCACGTAGAGGTCACTTTTTAGTGACTTCGTTTAAATTGCCATTTCGGCTGTTCACCAATCAAATATCTTGTTGTTCATTTTCCTCAGTAAACGGAAAGCTGAATATTCATAGATTCTTCTCATATAAAATATATAAATTTCAATTGGATGAAAAAAATCACCATCAAAACACTAATTTCAATATGAATGAACAATCCTGTCTAGGCATTATGCCCGAAAGAATGCGAAGCTTTAGTATAGCCTTCCGCCACCATTGTCAGAGGTCTACAGGCCCTGGCCTTAAAAAAAAATAAAAGAAAAAAGAAAAAAAAAATTACCTCCAGCGACTTCGTTGGCTTTAAATTGCCATTTCGGCTGTTTAGCAATCAAATAACTTGTTGTTCATTCCCCAGTAAACGGAAAGCTGAATATTCATAGATTCTTCTTATATAAAATATATTTATTTATTTAAACAATATTTTGTGAGGGTGGTCCATCCACCCAGGTGTGGCGTCAGGACCTGCCCGATGGATGGGCTAAAGGCTCCGAAGGGGGGGGGGCTAGTGGAGCGAATCGAGTCTCACTTGGCAGGGGGCCGCCTAGGGCCCCCGGTGGGGGTCCAGGGGGCGAAGCCATGGATATTTGATGAATTATGGCGAATTTTTATTACTTATTTGATAGGTATCGAGTTACTATAATATGACTACATGTAGGCTATGCTTTCTAATGTTGAAATCAGCTTCCAAAACCAAAACATTTTGAATAAAGCAAGAAACAAAGAG